TAATCTTTATTTAATAATATAAGCGAGCTTCTTATCGTATTTATTCTTTTCTCTATCTTTATTATCTATTATAGCTTCTCTAAAAATAAAAAAATATTATTAAATATAAATAAAAGCGAAGGGATATTCGCTTTTATAATCGTTATAATTTTAATTATTATAATATCTAATTACGTCGTAATTTTCTATTAAGAAATCTCGATAAATATCTTAATTTAAATATTTAAGATCTTAATAAAAGTTAATAATAGCTCTATTATTTTGATATCTAGATAAATCTATTAAGTAATTTTTTTTTATTATTACCGCGATAAGAGTAATAATAGCTTATTTAAATTTTTTAATTCTCTTTAATTTAACTATATTTAACTCTATATTTCGAGATATAATTATATTATTACTCGAATTTTAAAACTAATTAATATCTATTTATAATTAATTAAAGTTATTTTTAAAATAAAGAGCTTAAGACTCTTATCTTCTTTTAGTTATTTTTAAGATAATACTTTTATAGCGTAAATAGCTTAATTAAAACGCTTTATATTAATCTTTATAATTAATATATATAGATTTAAAGCTTAATTTTTTAAGCTCTTTATATATATAAATATTATATTTCTAAGCGTAATACGCGTAAATTAATTCTTTAATTTTATATAAAAATATAATATATTTAAATTTTTAATAGCGAAAGTATCTAATAACTTTATTTTTTTAAATATACTTTTTATAATTATAATATATATTTTCTTTTAAAATTCTTTAATTTAGATTATCTAATTAAACGATATTCGTATAATAGAGATTTATAAATTTAATAATTATCGCTAAGATTTTAATTAATAAATTTTTAACTTTATTCTTATTTAATTAATCTAAGTATTAAATTTTAACTTTCGAAATTTTATAAATATTTAATTTAAGAATAATTTTAGCGAGACTCTCGATATCTTTCGAAAATTAATAAAATTTAATAGAAATATTATAAATAATTATATCGAAAGTGAAAATTAAAATAAATATATTAATATTAAAATACGCTATTTATTTCTTAATTTTCTTATTATTTTTTAAAGTTTTAGCGCTTTCTCGAGTTTTTATTAGAAGTTATAAATTTTTAAATTTAAGTTATTTAATAATTTTAACTTCGATAAATTTAAGCGTTAGATAATATCTAAATTAAGTTTTAATAAAATTTTATAATTACTTAGAGATTTAAACTCGAAATTTCTAGACGATATCTTTATCTTTAATCTTAATAATAATCTAATAATCTTCTTTTTTATTAAGTTCTAAAGATAAACTAGCTATAATAAGTATAATAATAATATATTTTAGAGAAATAGCGAGAAGACGATTAAAAGATCTTTCGTCTATACGTCTATTAGATCTTATATCTTAAAAATTACTATTTTTATAGAGTTTTTTATAGTTATAATATCGCTTTTAATATATTTAATAAATTATTTTAAGTATAATATAATAGCGAGTAATTTTTTATTATCTAATTAATTAATTACTTTTATAATTATCGAAGAAATTATATAAAGTAAAATTTTAGCGATAATACGAGATATATTATCGCGTTTAAGATCGTTAAGTCTATTCTTTAGATACTTAAAAATAGTATTAGATATATTCTAAATAAGTAGAAGCTATTAATTAATAGAAAGAATTCTATAATTCTCGAAGATCTTTAGCTATTTCGATTTATTATCTTTTATTATAATAAATTATAAGAAAAAAAGCGAGTATAATAAAGATACCCAGGATCAATTAATTATAACAGATGTATTTATTAAAGACTATTTAAATGGTGACTGTCGGGGCTATTGAAATCATTGATGATGATGATAGCGCACAAGTAGAGTTATTGGTGGGTGGGTAGTGGGTACATAATTACAGCCGCGGCGTACTGCCAAGAATGTAGATGACGGCACGAGCACACAGCCTCGTCGAGACAGCCTCCATCCCAAGACATTTTCAGTCTTCCATTCTTCCTGTTAACCTCAACTTTACATTTTGATGCCGGTCGTCGAGTTGCAGGTATGTACCCTGGAGAACCCGCACATATTGGTATCTTGAGGCTGGGTAGAGACAAAACCAACAATCAGTCCCTAACAGTGACCAACATCGACGAGGTTCACGAGTATGATTCAGCTACAATCTGAAACCTGGAGACTATTGTTCCTTTTGATTTGGCTGTTCAGGATCTCAATCTAGAACGACTACTACCTTATATATGACCTTCCCCAATTGGTCTTTCTCGTTCCTATTTCCGAGGCATTTTCGGCCGAATCATGGTGATACTTGTATGATTCATTACCTTTTTCACTTTTTCGCACGCAGCTATTATCTCTTCTCCAGCTGCATTTTCTCACAACATGGGAAGGTATCCACCTTTTCACGAAGTCAATGCTGTGTCTACTGTGTCTTTGGCCATCTCTGAGCGTTGCAAAAACATGTTCAAGCCCTTGCTGTTCGTTGCTGCTTTCGCAATACTCTCTCTAGGCTTCCACTTCCAACGTGAACGCCTTTTCCCTTCATCGTATCACCCAGCTCCTTCCACGGGCTCCACCCAAGACCATGCACTCTCACCAAACAGCATCCAGGCAATCTACAACAGCACCCTTGGCTTCGGCGACATCTACATGATCAACATGCCTGGCCGAACTGACAAACTCGATGCCCTCCGCCTTCTCACTTCCGTCACCAACATCTCATACACCGTAGTCCCAGGCATCGACGGCAAGGAAATCCCGCACGTCGCTTGGCCAGGCTTCTACAAAGAAGACCTGGCAAGCAGGACCGGCAGCTGGCGCGCTCACATGAATGCTGCAGCCTCAATCCTCGACAACAACCTCTCGTCCGCCCTAATCGTCGAAGACGACGCTGACTGGGACGTCTCCTTAAAGACCCAACTCACCCAATTCGCTCTCGGGAGCCGACACATTCTCAATACGCCCGCGTTCTCTGAGCCGCGGTCCCCTTATGGCGACGGTTGGGATATGCTCTGGCTCGGCCACTGCGCGCAAGACCCGCCCTCAAAACCCCTCGCGCGCTTTTTCATTGCCAACGACACAACCATGCCCCCGGCTGGTCGCCGCTGGGGTCTGTGGAATCCCGAAGAAATGCTCACGTACGACATTCTGCACGTACGTATTTTCCGAGTTCATATTTCTACTTTTGGACCAACTCTTGAGCATTGAGACATGTCTTGAGATGGTCTATTCTGTAGACATGCCTCGAGGCTCTACATACCCTCTCGGATCGGTAATACTGACCCTGAAATTATAATCTAGAACCACACCACACGCGTCGTATACCGCCCCGCTGGCGGCGTCTGTTCATACGCCTACGCTCTCTCCTACACCGGTGCCCAAAAGATGCTCTACCATCTCTCTTACTCCCACTTCGATGGACCATTCGACGTTGGCCAAGCCGGTCTGTGCAAGCGCGGTAGAAAGGGAGAGATCGATTACTCGTGTGTGGGAGTTTATCCGGGGCTGATACATGCGGTGTTTGGGGAAAATGATATAGTGTACGATCCGACAAAACCAAGAAAAGAGAGGGAGAATAAGAAGGGAACACCGTCTGCGCCGAACTTGGTATTTGGTGTAAGGGAGAATGTGAGGAACTTGATCGAAGGAAAGGAATTGGTGGGGCGGTGGCAAGGGGAGGAGGAGATAGGGGAGATGGAGATGTGGTTCGACGAGGGGAAGGGCGATTGATCAGAATCGAGCAACTTTTCCCATGCCGTGACGCTGTAATGCGAAACAGACGTTGGCAGCAGTAGTGTTTGGCCCTTTGGCTAGTCTTCCATGACATCGTATCGGAGGTCTAAGGGAATTGTCCCAATCACAAAGATGGTGGCAGTTGCGGGGTAAGGAGTTTGAAGTGATTGGCACCAGATGAAAAGGATACATCTCCCAAGGAATCTCACAGTCCGGGCGGAACAGGCCAATCCGCAGCGCGAGAGCAGGAAGAGAGAATGCGAAAGTACAGGTCTACTTCGCCAGCACCCTCGCAACGTTCGGACTAGCCAATGGAGAACTGAGACTTTGTGAAAGTTGCCTGAATGATCAGACTTCGAGGCCATTCAAGTACGGAAGACTATGCTGCCAATCTGCTTCTTTCTGGCGTTGCGTCAGGGCTGCTTGGAACATCCATTCGAGCGTGAATTTGTGCGATTGCCTTCACAGCGCACTTACGACTCAAGAGAGGATACTCAAGGCTTGCCCAGTCCTGCGACAGTCGGTGTTTCAAGCGCATAGACATTGTGAGGCTGATGGTAGAAAGGCGATTGATCTCTCGTGGAACAAGCAGGTCCGCCGCTCGGGCATTTGGTCTGGTAGGTATACATGGAAAGTCACCATGTCCACACGTTAGGAACCAGAAGCTCAAGACTCCCATGAGCGCAAACAAATGACGTGTCACAAAAGAAGATACGTAATATTCCAACGAGTTCCGTTTGAACGCGAACTCATCCTTCTAGATCTATTGGTCCTACACGAACAATGCTACTCAGTCTCTGATGCAGTTGAAGTCAACTTCACCATAGTAAAGAGGTGTTAGCCATCCTAAGCCATTCCAGTAACAGACACCTTGCGTGCTATAAGAGAAGACGACGACCTTGCCACGGGACTATCCTGGTTCACGCTGACAGAGTCTTGTATCTATAAGCATAGATGGACTGTCGACCAGTTGGCGAAAGCCAAACGGCCATGGAATTCCCAGTCATCGTTCGCCGACACGTATCGTACTGCCTCTGGGAAACACGGCTTCGTAGACGTGCCTGTTCCCATTCAGATTTCGAATGCGCTTACACCTCACGCCTGGCAGGTGCCCATAGCGTCTGATACGCCAGGTGGTATTTTAAGTATTGATATCATTATAATCCCGTCGCCGTGACTAAAATGAGACATGACGGACGGAATGAAGCCCCGTCCGTGTGAGGATTGTCCGTAACGTCGTATTGGTCCGTGGGAACATCCCAATCATCAATCCTCCCCCTCCTCCCGCCTCCCCCTCACAATCTCCCAACACGCCGCCCCCGTCAACCCGACCACGGCCAGGCTCAACGCGCCCGCGCCGTACAGACTCGGCTTGTACGATCCCTTCTCCAGCATCCTCATGTTGGAAAAGTATCTCGCCGTGCCGTACGCGATGCTCCCGCTCCCCGTCGCCAACAGTCCCCGCACGAGGCCCTCGCTCTGGTCCTTCTTGGGATGTCCACCCTTGCCCTTGGCTGCCGGGGTGGGGACGGGGTCGAGCTGGCCGAATCTCTCGATTGCGATGCCCAGGGCTACGAAGCCGAGACCGGTGCGGAGCCAGGCGAGGAAGGTCCGTTCGGAAGCGAGGTGGTCGCGCGCCGTGGAGCCGGTGTTTTGGAGGATGGGGGTGCGGAGGCGGGGGAACATTTGAAGGGCTTTTAATGATGGGAAGGAAGGGGGACGTCGTTGGGGACGAGGGAATGGAATGTCGTCGCTAGTTTTGCTGTGATTGTCCCGTCGGGCATTTCTCTTGGCACCCGAAGAGGAGGAGGAAAAGGTCAAAATCTCCCACCCAAAATCGCCGCTTTTAGGGTGACTCTAGCTAGTTGGAGTCCCAACTGTACTACTGTAGCATGATGCCTCGCTCCAGTCAACAATCACTTGAACAAGCACCCTGTCATCTCAGTGAAACAAGAACGGTGAACCCTCTTTACTTATATCTAATCTCAGAGAGGAAGTTCGGGAAAGGGTTTTGTAGAACGTTGACATTTCCTACAAAGTAGGCCACGAATGTTCGATCGGCTCCAACTCACCCTTGCCCCTGAAGATATCCACAAGATCAGCCTGTTCCGGGAGCATATGCCTGTCCGTCTGAATGCCAATGCGCGCCAGACCGCGCCACCTCTCGAGATCCGCCGGGTTTCTTTTATCCCCGTGTGCCGCTTCCGCATTCTCCCAGTGACCTTGCAATCGCCCCCGTCAGCGATCTGGTCGCCTACGTCCAAAGGGAGAGTGCCCCCAGCAATAACAATACCTTTGGAGAAAGCGAGAAGCGTCGTTATCCGTTTCTTGGGAATGTCGTAGACGAGGGAGACGACAGTCCCCGTCTCTGCGGGGATGGCTCCCGTCAGTCGCTATGGCGACCATTGCTGATCCCTCGGAGGCGGAATGCGTACCTTCGAGCCAGTTGCACTGCCACAGCTCGCCTGGTCTGATGCATTGAAAGCTACATGTCTGGAAGTTGGTTCGGCCGGCCATCGGACCACCGTGGATCTTGTAGACGACGCGATCCTGCGATGGGAGGTGAAGATCACTCAGTGTCCCGCAACTCTGGCAACAGGATCCAAAGCGAAGACTTACTTCGCTGAAGAACCAGATCTCATAGCGCCACTTTTCAGGCTTGCCCTGCGCGTCGTGGGCATTGTAGTCATACACGAGATGAAGATCTTTGAGATCTTTCGCAAAAGGAAAGTCGGTAGCGGGTGCGGTCATTTTTGAGATGAAAAGGTTGTATAAAGTCAGTCCTGGTTCGGCTGGTATTCACGATTTCTTCGGTGTCCACGCTCCCTCCAACCTTGAGGTGCTGGCAGTGTCTAAGCGGCTCGGCTGCGAGCAGAACTCGCGATCAGGAGCCGTCCGCGCATAGGTGCGCATCATCATCTCGTACCCAATCGATCACGACTGTCGGTATCGGAGGCAGGCAAATGTCCGTGATTCCTCACCACCTGTTGCCCCACTGAAGCAAATGCCCCATGACGGCAGGCCATCCCCAGGTTTGTAGAGAACCTTCGAAGTTGGGAGTGCAGTATATTGAACCGTGAAGGATCACGTTCCTCATTGCGATCCTCCTCATCTTCTATTTCTTGCTTCGTGCAACGAAAAGTAATCTACGTAACGCTGCTCAAACCTCCGTTACCGCAGACTCCGCTTCCCCGATGGGATCCACCTCCACTTCCCCAATGGCCGAGACCGACACGAAGCCTCCCAGACTAAAAGGCAACCAGCGCGCTCTCATCGGGGCGCCAGAATGGACGAGAACATGATATGCGAGATCCCCTCCAAGCGGAGCCTAATGCCGCGTCGGGACGCACATCGTCCACGGAACGCAAAGCCTCACATCAAGCCTCACTCCTCTACGCTGGACACAAGACCAATTGCAAAGCAGGCAACACGGAGAGATCAATACATTAGTCAGTCAGCAGGTTCGCTGGATCCTCGTCACACCTCGCAGGATCGTGTCAAAAAGAGCCCAATGCAAGCCCGAGCGCAGAGTCACGAGACGGGAAATGGAGGCGTCGATGGCTGCGCACGTTGGAGACAGGAAGTGAGGGAAAGGTTAGCGGGCAGGCGGTCGGAGAAGGGATGGAAGAGAGGAAGGGCGAGAGAGTAGGGAGAGCGAACGATCGAAGGGTGTTGAGGATGGCGGAGATGGTTTGTATACTCGAAAGAGGATGGAGTGGATATCAACGTGTCTACCGTCGCTACTTTTGCGTCCGACCACCATGTATCCCGTAGGCAGGGAATCAGGCAGCGGCGCCGTCCCTCCTTCGGTCGCGCGGCCATGACCCAGACAGCCTTCCATCTTTCTGGTATAATATAAAGTGCCAGAAATGATGAATCATGCATATATCATTGGTCAGAATGGTTGGCTTCATAAGTGAAGATGGACATGTCTATTTGGAATAGGTTGAGTCGAATCCACTTCAACAAACAAGCCTGTACTGACATTTCTCCTCTAATTTCTCTCCGCCACCGCCCCCAATGCATCCAAAGAAGGACTTTGGGAATGAGACCAACGCCGCCGCTTGAAAAATGCACAATTTTCCACCCATGATGACTTTGCGCCCAAAAAGAAGCAGTAGAATTGGTCTATGAGTAGAAATCCCTCCCAACCGGATGACGCCGTGCGACACGCATGAAGAAAGCACGCTCGAAGTACAAGACTCATACTCGTTCTCATGTTCGTAAGAAGCTCAGACTGCGTATCCGTAATATTTCGAAATTGCTTCGCAGCGGCCGTCAATAGCGGCCGACGCTTTCTTGGGTTGTTGATTGCAATAGCAATCGAATGTGTTGACTTTGAACAAATGTCTCCTCCGTCCAGTTCTGGCCTAGCTAATTCGCTTGCTGGCTTTGTATTCTATGACACTTTGACCAGATAAAGTTCACCCACGAATCGCAGTGGGTGCGTGCGTCTCAAACAGTCCATTTTGCATTGTCTGATGAAACGGATATCTGAATGATGGAGGTGAAGCGGTCCTCGAACCAACAGCGGACCCGGTCGCAGGAGATGATGATCTTGAAGCCTGGGGGCTTGAGATCTTCGACGACTTTCTATCCGCCACAGGTGGCGAACGACTTCCAGGTGGCGAGGGACTAGCTGATCCCGAAAGCTTGCCAGACTCGTTCTGGGGCTCTGGTAGGTCATCAGGGGCACCATCGACCTGAGCTGGTCCAGGCTTGGCAGGCTGAGCGCATGGCTTCGCAGATCCAAACTGCAGTATATATTAGCTCAAGATGCCCTTGTTCTCTTTGTTAGGTCCAGAACGTACGAAGCAGTATTTGTCGAGGAGCTCGTGGTAAGACTGTGACTGTAGCGATGGCTTCTCAGCAGTCAAAGCAACAGGCTTTGGGAGATCTGCGACCTTTTGCTGGCCGGCTTCGCTGCCCTTGACGGCTTTCCCGGCGTCCGGAGACGGCTGGACCTTGACCACCGGAGGCGTTTCGGTGTGTTTGTCAGACGGTGGCTTCGATGGCACTTCCCCTTTGTCACCAATAGAAGTACCAGCAGCCTGGATTGCTGCAGACAATGAAGCACCAAAATCATACCGATTCCCGAAAGCTTGTTGATTGGTCGAGGCTTTTGGACGTCCTGGCGCATCCGGGACAATTCCTCTCGCAGACGGTTTGTTCTTGAACCGTATGGGAGAGTCACCAACAAGCGCAGACGGCTGGGGTAACGAAGAGAATTCGTATGGATTTACGCTACCAGCAAAGTCATCGAAAGATGGCATGCTGCGAGGCCTTGGCGAAGAGAAAGTTGCCGATGGTCTACTACGAGGTAGAGCATTGAGCGGGTGAGAGCTCTTCGCTTGCGCGCCTTGCTTGCCATTCTGAGGCTTAGCTCTCTTCGAGAAATCCACCTGATAGTTAACGGAGTTGTTGTTGTCCCAGTAATTCTGGCCATTCACGCTGTACCTCACACAGAAGAACAGAGTCTTGTTCTCGAGGTTTGCCTGGTCTTCGAGCTTGATACGGAAAGTAAACAGATCACAGTCATGAGCTGCTTGCTTTTTGCGCACGTCATTGTTGTACTCTGCCACAACTTCCGAAGTCGTCTTCCAGTAGTCAAGAGTGAAGCGCGCAATGACCAGCTTGTGGAAAGCGAGATTACGCACTACCACATCTCCTTTCAGAATCTTAGTATCGGGTGATAGGTATACCCTCTCAGTCCGGACTGGCAAAGCGCCTCGCTCAAGACTGACTTGAGGAAAATTGGTCATTCGGATTTCCCATTCGAATGGAGGCGACGGTGGACTGGATTCATCGTCGCCAAATGGAAATTCATTTTCTTCATCATAGGGATCGACAGGTGACGACCCAGCACTGACAGCAATTGGTCGATCTACCTGTAGGAAATGACGAACGTGTTCTAGGCTGCTGTCTTGGAAATGTACAACTTTTGAGTATGTTGGTGTTCCGGGCATGCTTGACGGTCTTCTCCTCGTAGAAGATGCCCTCAAGGCCGGCCTTACAAGCTCCCCAGATTTTTTGCGAATCAGAGACGGCTTTATTCGTAGTTCATCATCTTCAACATCCTCTACGTCACTCTCAGATGTACTTCGTGCGGGCGAGTCAAATTTATTCCGAGGGAAGTCGAAGAACGCGCTTGCATCAGTAGTCGACCTCGAGTGTGAAATCTTGCGGGCTTCAGCTGACAGGCGCAACCGAGGCGAGAGCACAGGCTTTGATGTGTTGTCTTTGTTCGACGGGTCTATCTGATGCGACGGAAGACCAAGGGTCAATCTTGCTCTCTTTGTAGCTTCGCTTGCGTGCGTGTCAGGAGAACCCGCTCGATGTTGTTCAATTATTCTGATAGCCGCCTGCAGCTCAGCCAAATCCACTATGTCCCTGGCCCTACCCCGCTCTGTCGCGGTCTCGTCATCGCTGGAGGTCTGGGGTGAGACGGGCAGAGCAGGCTCTAACGAAACCGCTGGGCCAACCGTAGGAGAAAGGCGACTCTTCGTAGCCAAGGTTTCCTCGCTCTTTTGATCCTCGCTATCCGAGCTTCTATTCTCTTGTGGAGTAGCATCAGGAGTTGGCAGTTCAGACTGCCTGGTGGTTGAGGGACTTCGGCGGTGTTTGTTTAGGTATGCTCTGGATGATGTCGAGTGGGGCAATTCATTTCTCGAGCCATGGCTTGAGGCGGATGTATCGTGGGGTTGGCTTTTGTTGTATGAGTGGGTACGGCTCAGATGTGGAGTTTCAGGTCTTGAGGCGACAGGAGATGTGGTTGGTGGTGTGTACGGCATCCTTTTGACAAGGAGGTCTGTTGGATGATATGATGGTAGAATGTAAGGATAATATGTACATCAGGTAGGTCGTCAAACGGAAGTATTAACTCATGGGAATCATGGGAATCGTTGGATAAAGTGGCGTGGTAAAGATCTGCTCGGAATCTTTTGATCAGCCAAAGCAACAAGAGGAGGCTATAACATGATTTACATGGGATCATTGGTGTTATTCTTTGCTGTAGGAGAATGTTTGGGTCAGAGTGGGACATACAAGGAAGTGGCCCGGTGAAAGTGAAGGGCTTCACCGGATGCGGCGGTTAAAGCCAGGGAAAAGAACAATGCCACTGGCCGTTGGAGCAATCCACTGTTTTGAGGGCGACTCCAAGTAATTGAATTTATGGACTACACTGCCTGCAGGTGTCTGTCGCGTTTCAGAGCACAACGAAGGTGGTTCAAGTCGACACGGGCCTCTCTTCCTAACCGATCGCTCGGAATTGATTTCGGTGGGGCCGGAAGTTGTTCCGGAGGGAAAAGAACAAAGGAATTGTGTCATGCAATGCTCTCTCTCAACACTCCGCAAAGATCAAATGGGAGAAGACTCAGACAACGTATGATGGTGTTGTAGGAGGAGTTGGAGGAGGAAAGGTGTAGGTGAAGGAGTAGCAGTAAACAAAGAAGAAAAACATGGATGTTGAACGAGATAGATAAAGTAGGATGACTAGGATTCCGATGGCGGCGCATGGGAAATTTGCTGAGTACTTTCCGCTAAATTTGGAAAGTTTGGAACTAGCAAAAGGCCAATGAGAAAGTGTCGCTGATCACAACTTTCTCAACTTCCCCTAGAGTCGGACAGACAAACGCGACCTTCACGCCATCTTTCATGCCATCCTCACAGGCTCACACCACACCATCGTGAATGCAGCGTGCCTGCATTCAAACCTCTATGGCGCTTCTAGGGCGCAATAATATATCTTTCAC